AGTGATCGCGGGATGGCCTCGCATGATCCAGATTTAGCTGCGAGGTGCATGTCTCTTTTGTTTGTCAGGGATGGTCGCCCTGCGCATAGCAGGGAATATGCTGGCACCCCCGTCGTCTTTGTCCAAAACAATGCAAAGTGTTCGCGGGCCTCACGAACATGGCTCGAGACTTTGCCCCAACGTGTACTTTGCATGTTTTTTGTCAGGGGTGGTGTGTGTGTGTGTGTGTGCGTGCGTGCGTGCGTGCGTGCGTGCGTGCGTGCGTGCGTGCGTGCGTGCGTGCGTGTGTGTGTGTGTGTTTGTGTGTGTGTGTGTGTGTGTGTGTGTGTGTGTGTGTGTGTGTGTGTGTGTGTGTGTGTGTGTGTGTGTGTGTGTGTGTGTGTGGGGGGGGGGCGCATCGGTTTGGCCGCGCATGCTCCAACTGTGGAGGCAGAGTGCGTATTGTGTTGTTTTGTCCCAACCCTCCTTGGTTGAGTATTCGTTTTGAATCGAGCACTGCGGTCGCGTCTTCTCCTTCTCCTTCCCGCCTCCCGCCTCCTGCCTCTTGCCCCCCCTCCTTCTTGTCTCCTCTAGCCTTTTGCGTAATTGCCGCTTGTGTGTGCATGTTGCCTGCGGTACCTGTCTCCGACCTCGCCGACCCTGGGGGGCTGCGATTTTGCGAAATTGTCACCACTTTCGAGGGCTGCTGGGGGGGGCAGCGTAGTGGGTACCCGCCGCGGACCCCAAATTTACCTCGCCATCCCTGGGGGGCTGCGATTTGGGAAATTGTCGCCACTTTCGAGGGCTGCTGGGGGGGGCAGCGTAGTGGGTACCCGCCGCGGACCCCAAATTTGACATCTCCATCACTGGGCGCTGCGATTTTGCGAATCTGTCGCCGCTTTCGAGGGCTGCTTTTTTTGGGGGGGGGGGGGGGCGGGCATCATAGTGGGTACCCGCTGCGGACTCAAATTTGACCTCGCCGTCCCTGGGGGGCTGCGATTTTGCGAACGTGTCGCCACTTTCGAGGGCTGCGCGGGGGGGGGGGGGGCAGCATAGCGGGTAGCCGCCGCGGACCCACATTAAACCTAGCCGCCCCTGGGGGGGGGGCTGCGATTTGCGAAGCCGTCGCCACTTTCGAGGGCTGCTCGTGGGGACAGCATAGTGGGTAGCCGCCGCGGTCCCAAATTAGACCTCACCACCCCTGGGGGGCTGCGATTTGCGACATTGACGCCACTTTCGAGGGCTGCTCGTGGGGACAGCATAGTGGGTAGCCGCCGTGAACCCAAATTAGACCTCGCCATCCCTGGGGGGCTGCGATTTGGGAAATTGTCGCCGCTTTCGAGGGCTGCTGGTGGGGACAGCATAGTGGGTGGTAACAGCCGCAGACCCAAACTAGACCTCGCCGTTCCTGGGGGGGCTTCGATAATCGAAGCTGGGTAGCCGCCGCAGACCCAGATTATACCTCGCCGTCCCAGGGGGGCTGCGATTTGCGAAATTGTCGCCACTTTCGAGGGCTGCTTGGGGGGCCAGCTATAGTGGGTAGCCGCCGCAAATCCAAATTAGATCTCGTCATCCCTGGGGGGCTGCGATTTTGCGAAGCCGTCGCCACTTCCGAGGGCTGCTGGGGGGGGGCCAGCATAGCGATCTGCCAAACTGTCACCACTTTCGAGGGCTGCTGGTGGGTCCAGCGGAGTGGGGCACCGCACAGATCTGAGCGAGACCTCGCCGTCCCTCGGGGCTGCGATCTGCGAAACCGTCGCCACTTTCAATGGCTGCTGGTGGGTCCAGCGGAATTATGCACCGCGCAGATCTGAGCGGGACCTCGCCGTCCTTGGGGGGCTGCGATCTGCGAAACCGTCGCTACTTTCGTAGGCTGGTGGCGGGTCCAGCGGAGTGAGGCACCACGCAGATCTGAGCGGGACCTCGCAATCCCTGTGGGGCTGCGAGCCTCACGACTGCCGCTCGCAGAAGTATATGCGTCCATGTCACGTCATCACCTCAGTATAACGCCTCCCAGGCTACTCATGCCCCGCATTGCGCAGGGGTTGGATACGTCGCCAGGGTAAGTGACAGGGATGGTGGGGGGGCGGGTCGTCATGGTGTCCTCATGGTTCCTGGTTGGACGCCGGTCGCCTGGGGGAGGGGATGTATATGAATAAGGAACAGTGGTCAACCGTTTCCCGAAGGGGAAGAAGGGGTTGTGGACTAGGAAAGAGAGACAACGTTAGACCGCTTGTCGCCCAGAGGGTTGGTCGGATTAGTTTCATGTTCATGTCATGACACAATTCCTCGGCCTTCAACGCCGCGAATCAACGTCACCGTCGCATCCTGGCAATCCCAAGGCGCGCCAGAAAGCCACTCCTGGGATATCAACACTGCGAACGATCTTGACTGTTGCGTCCTGACAACCCTGGGATCTCAACCTTGCAACTCTTTGGGCATGCTGCAAGTGCTTGAGATGAATGCCCGTGGCGCTCAGGTGAGAACCGCATTTTGAAGAAGAACGCCGCCGTCTTTGGAGCTGCCGCGAACTTTTACGACGAATGTGCGCGGCACTGAGGCGAGAGCGACATTTCGCACAGGAACCGCCCTCCATCTTCGAAGCGGCTGTCAATTTTTCAGACGAATGTTCGCCGCGCCAATGCTAGAGCAACATTTCAAACATGTCCGGTACTCCATCATTGGAGCTGCTGATCGCTTTAGAAACAGACGTGCGCAGCGCAAGGCGCGAGCCACATTTTGAAAACGACTCGCCTTCCATCTTTGAGACTGTTGCACCTTTGAAAGTTCAGGGCATACATGGTCAGGAAGTCTCAGGCGAAACGCCTAGCCCACGCTAAGGACATGTCTGTGGGTGCGATAAGGACAAGGGATGGAGGAGGAGGAGTAGGAGGGAGGAGGAGCAGGGAGGGAAGAAGGAGGAAGAGGAGCAGGGAGGATGTGTCGGAGGACGAGGGAGGAGGATTCTCTTTCTGATCATCCCCCCCTCCGCGCCGCACCCCTTCTCCCAGCATGAACCTCTTCAAGCTGCGCCCATCTTGCACAGCTGTTGTCGGCGCCAGCCCGATTCCCCCCGGCCTCAGGAAGGAATGGATGGACCGACGGATCTCCCTCTGCGAGCTCTCCGCAAAGAAGCTGCCGGATCGCGGAGCAGCAAGCACGGAGGGTGATGTTGCTGCTGCTGCAGCGGAGGATCGGGGTTTCAGAGGGAGCAGGAGTAGGAGCAGGGGGAGGATGAGAAAGGGGATACGTACCTCCTCCCGCCTTCCTCAACCCTCCCCCTTCCCTCCCTCCCTCTCTCTCTCTCGATATCCTCGCGTTTTTTTCTCTTGCTCCTCCTCTTGCCCGTCCTCTCTCTCCTCCACACGTGCCCTTCCTCCTCTTGCCCCCCTCCCTCTCGTTGCCCACCGCCGCCGGAGGAGGAGGGCTTATGGATCTCTCTTCACGGGGGCGTCTTCGACATCACGTCCTTCCTCCGCGGCCACCCCGGCGGTCCGCAGGCTGTTGCCGTTAGAGCCCGCCCAGCCCGACGGTCGCGGCCGCATCGGGCCGTTTGCCGGTCCGACGAGTGCTTCGATCGAGATCGGGATCGGGGCGGCCAATTTCGATACTGCTGATCGTCCTGGAGATCTCTCGGCGCCACGGCTGGATTTTCCACGAAGTTCGTGGCGGAGCACACGCTTGGAGAGGTCCAGAGAGTAGCGGTGTCGGCGCAGTCTTGCTCCCCCACAGTCGGGCCCGTCGATCAATTTGGTGTGCTCCGTGCTGGGCAAGGCCGGGATCGCAAAATGCCGCGGGTAAGCCAAGCTCGGCAGCATCTTCCGAGGTTCTGCTCAGCTGTGCAGGGGGCGACGCCACTACTGCGTTCGACGAGGTAGGGCACTCACGCAAAGCTATGGATATCGCGCTCAGGCGCTGCATTGTTGGCCTGATGGAAGACTGCGAGCCGAGCGGCTTCGTGTCGAACGCCATCTCCCGCGGCTAGACGTGACATGTACGTATCATACCGGGCGACGCCTCTGCTGAGTTCGCCGAGGTAGCTCGCTCGCGCCTGGGCGTACACCCGCGCTTAGACACCACATTCGTGGCCCGCTGAAAGACCACGAGCCGAGTGGCTTTGTGTGGAACTCTCTTGCTCGAGGCTGGGCGCGACGGCGCGCCGGGGCGGGGGAAGTGAGAAGGAGCAGGCCTCCTCAGAATGCGGCGGGGCTTCTCGGAATCCCTCCAGCCTTCTGAGAAGCTGTCTGTGTCTTCAGGGCAGGCGTAGAACACTTTTTTGAGAGGCCCCGAGGCCTTCCGAGCCTTGTGAGGAGGCCCACTCCTCCTCACTTCCCCCCCAGGGCTCGCCGCCGACAGGCGCGACATGTAGCACTCGGGGCGACGCCTCCTCCGCGTTCGATGGGTCAGGTCACTCGCGCAAGGGCGCGGACTTCGTGCTTAGGCGCTCCGCTGCGGGCCCGCTGGCAGACCGCGAGCCGAGGGGCTGCGCGTGGAACGCCCCGGCCCGTGGCCAGATGCGGCAGGCACCACCGAGGGCCGCCGGGGCGGATGGCCACAGGGGCCACACGACCCCTCGGGCATTTTGACGCCAGGCTCTCCTTGCTGCTTGTGGCGGGCGGCTCGACGCCCGGTCAAAACAGGCGCCTCTCTTCCTCCTTCGTCCCTCGTGCTCCTCCGCCTGCCCCGAGGGGGGACACACACAAAACGTCGAAGTGGCAGAGGGCGCCCCGCAGACTGAGAAATCGCCTGCTGGTTACCAGCGCCACTGGCAAGTTCAAAGTAGCGGCTGCTCGAGCGGCCTTGGCGAGGTGTCCCAGATGCGCCCTGTTCCCCTTCCGGAAACCCTATCTGTGCTCCGCCGCCCTTCCCCCCAGTCGTAAGCAAGGTTCGCACGCTTCTGACAAACATCAGCTGCGCCGAAACTCCCAAGGGGCTGGCAGTTGCACAGAATCAGGAGGCATGCAGATGTACGTTGTTTCAGTGAGCGCGCGTTCACACTCACAGGAATGATGCCAGAATGTGTGGTGTTGACTCGCTGCGTATCTTCGTAATCGCTTCAGGTCCAACATTGCTTTGCTTACCGAGCACATGCAATCGACTCGTCGGCATAGGTGGTGCTGAGTCTGACGACGAGACGAACGATGAGGAGGAGCTGCATCTGTGAAGGAGACGGCGGCTCCCAAGAGTTGCACCCTCCACCTCTACCTCATCGCTCATGCAGGCCCGGCCCCCTCCTGTATCAAGTTTCAGCCCCCTTCCTGTCCAGGCTTCGTTCCTTGTCTTCCTTCGCCCCCCTTCCCGTCCCCCCCCACACCAGAGGAAACCACAATGCTTCCAGCACCAAGTCTGAGACGGAAGCAACATCCCCCACGCAGGCCCGCAAACCATCATGCTTTGGCCGTCCCCTGGCGGGAGCAGGAGGAGGATAGAGGGAGAATGGGAATGGGAATGTCAGATGACTAAGTCATACTACCTGGTCTCCCCCAGAGCTTCTCCAGAAACGCGAGGAAAAGGATGGGGAAGGAGACGAACCAGAACATGGCGCACAACACACGTTAGACACGCTTCATTTGCAGCCAGCGCCTTCACAAGGTATTGAAAGCACGATGACTCACCCAAACCAAAAGTATGTCCATCAGCGAAAGTAGCCACAAACGCTTTCACAAATGATTGCTATGGCTCAATCACCAGTCTAAACCACAGTTATGTCCATCAGCGAGAGCACACGTACAAACACTTCCACAAGTAATTCCCTGAGCAAAATATAACCAAACGTGCAACGACCTTCGCAAAGTGTTGCATGAGCACAAATCTGTCCCTCAGCTGTTGCCCAAATGCACAGATGACGGCCACATGCGAAACCCCATGTTGAAACTGGTGCAATAAAGCCTGAATTAATATTGACGCCCCGACACTATGCGGGACGTTCGCCCTTTGACCTGGGAGAAGTATGCAAACCACTTGACCAAGCACACAGGGAGTGACTGCCTGCCTCCTGATACGCCCAATGCTACATGGGACAAAAAGCAGCTGAGACCAAATACAGAACACCACCAACAACAAAGTGCAGTACCCTCCCCAAGCGGACATGGGAGATGCCGGCACTGAAGCGGATGATGCCTGTCCCCTGCTGGACGCGGAACACACTGTAGGAGTACATTCCCCTTGCGGCAATGGGAGATACCTGCACTGAAGCTGACGTGACCCCGCCTGGCCGCCACAGTGCATGCTACCACTGCTTGCTTTCTGACACAAGCATAACAAGCGAATTGAACATATGTGGTAGAGCAATCTGAGATACAACAAGTGCGGTCCGAAAAGACGGCAAGTGAACGTACACCAGAATGCACGACACCAGAACGCCTGCTATACACTATACTTGAGTTCGCCTATTCTTGCCATCCCACGCCAACAACCTCCAACAGATGCGAACAGCATTATGGAAGATGATGTGCTGGGGGCCCCTAAAGCGCCACGCGAAGGCAATGGGCTGGGCACCCCATGGCTAGCTCGAGCCCAAACGGGTACGATGCCTTGGGCCACCCGTGCTTGAGTGGGGGATGGAGGGAGGAGGAGAAAGGAGAAAGGGAAGGCCTATTCCCGGGACGGCAACGAGGGGGGGGGAGGATGACTAGGGGGGTGAATGTCATGGCGTGGGCCATGATATGTCCTCAGATTTCATGGCGCCTCTTATTTCATTACGTCCCTGGCCCCCCCTTGGGCCCCCTCTTGGACGCCATCCTCTTGGCCGCCCCCGAATATCTGATCCTACGCAACACTCCGAGGGAGAAGAGCTCATAGGCGATTGCCGTGCCGTTCGCGTTTCTGGCGTGCCGTTTCGCTCGGCACATCCTCATAGCTGGCTGCCTGCGGCAGGTGCCCAGCATTCTTGGTGGCGACTGCTCGAGGGTGGGAGAGCCGTAATGAGGATGCAGATGAGGGTTAAGGAGGAGGATGAGGATGAGGATGAGAAGGAGGCAGAGTATGAGAATGATGCTGCTGCTGCTGCTGCTTCTAAGGTTGAGGTTAGTGATGATGCTCATCATGATGATTCCGATGATGATGATGATGATGATGATGCTGATGATGATGATGATGATGATGATGATGGTGATGATGATGATGATGATAATGCTGATGGTCATAGTGGGGATTGAGATGAGGATGAGGATACTGATGGTGGCTGTGGTAGTGATAGTGGTGGCGACGATGCTGATGCTGATGATGATGATTATGATGTTAGTGATGGTGATGATGATGATGCTCATCATCATGTGGTTTCGGATGCTGATGAGGGAACTGATGGTTGTTGTGGTGGTGGCGATCTTGCTGATGATGATGATGCTGATGATGATGATGATGATGATGATGAGGAGGAGGAGGAGGAGGGGGAGGAGGATGAGGATGATGAGGATGATGATGCTGATACGGATGATGCTGCTGATTATGATGATTATCAGGGTGATGATACTGATAATGATGGTGTTGGTGATGCTGATAAGGATGATGGTGCTGCTGCTGCTGGTGATGATGATGCTACTGAAGATGATGATGATGATGGCGACAATGATGATGCTAATGATGACGATGACAGACCGTCACACATGTTACGTGTTACCTGTCGTCTTCACTACTGGAGGAGCTCTGATGGCACTCGTTTGGGCAGTCTTGGGGTTGCCTTGGCCTCCTGTGGGGCAGTCTTTGTGGTGCCTTGGGGCCCTCTTGGACCGTCTTGGGGCCCTCTTGCTTGTGTCGTCTTGGGGCTCTTCTAAGCCGTCTTGGGGCCCTCTTGGCTGTATGGTGGGCGTCTGGGGGCCGTCGTGGGGCCGTCGTTGGCCGTCGAAAGGCCTTCGAAGGCCGTTTTCGGTCCCACTTGAGCCGTCTTGGGGCCGTCTTGGATGCCTCTTTGGCCATCGTGGGGCCCCTGGGGCCATCCTTAGATCTTGGGGACCTCTTGGGCCGTCGTGGGGCCAGCGTGGAGGCCTCTTGGACCGTCTCGAGCTGACGGAAGCCAGATAAGGCGAGAATGCGAAACTCATTTTCCATTTTTCAAGTATATCTTTACATATCTCTATATATATATGTTCATAGAATCAGAATCCAAGGGGAACCAATGAGCGTGGCTTCTTTAGGCCCTGTTGGAGGTCCTCTTGTGGCCGTTTTGGGCCCTCTTGGAGGCATCTTGGGACGTCTTGAGGCCATATCAGGTCGCATTGGGGACATCTTGGGCGAAGCATCTTGGGCCATTTGGGTGTCCTTGGTTCCATGCGTGGGTCGTCTTAGGGGGCTCGGGACGCGGATCCATCGTCTGTAACAAGGGATCGCGGTCTCGGGAGCGCGGACCCATTGTTCTTTTCGAAGGGATCGTGGCCTCGGACAAAGGTGCAGCGCATGCAGTGAGATGCTAGTAGGGAGGGGGGGGGCACCTACCATAGTATAGAACATCCACCAGGCAGCCCCTTGTTTTTTCCTCGCACCAATGTGCGCTGCACAAGGCACGATGGCCAGAATTTCAAGACTGGACGCACCCCTCACGCAGATCGCGACGTCAGGGTCCAGCAACGCAGCGGACGTTCAGCGTCTTAAAAGTCATCCTTTAAATGCACAATGGATTTAAATGCTTTCGCATACATTTGTTTGAAAACCATGTGGGCTTTGTGGACTCCAAACAGCAAGTCGCTGCACTGCGAATGCGTACGCCATGTGTGGTTTCAACGACGTTGTAAAGTCTGTGTGGTGCAGTATACGTGGTGCCACTCGGGGCCCTCTTGAATCGTCTTGGGGGGGCCTCTTGGGGCCCTCTTGGCCCGTCTCGGGGCCCTAGTGAGCTCGAGCGCTTCACGCGACGACACTTTCCGGAGCCCGGGGGGCACGCGACAAGTTCCAGGGGGCACGCGGGAAGCCCTGGGAGATTTGGGAGCGAGGGGTCCGGGTCCCTCAAAAAGACTCGCCCGGAGTGCGGATTGAGGCCTAGAGGATTGGGCC